CCGCTCCATCCCTGGCTGGTGCCAATCCGGTCCCATTCCATCGTTGCCCAGCGGGAGATGCCGTCCGGCCCAGGGGTCTCTGGTCCTGCTCCACCCCGGTCCTGCGCCGTCCCAGTTCCAGCCCCATCCCCATCCCCACCCATCGGTCCCGCTCCATCCCCACCCATCGGTCCCGATCCCACCGGCGATGGTTTGCTCGAGTGTCCCGCCCTGGCGGAGATGGGGTCGCAGTATCCCGGGCCGTGGGAAGCGGGACATGGGCCGGCCACGGCCGCCGAACCCGGGCTGGGGATGCTCCCGGCAGGGAAGGACGGGGAATGCGCTCCCGGCAGGGAAGGACGGGGAATGCGCTCCCGGCAGGGAAGGACAAGGACCGCGCTGCCGGCTCCGCTGCGGTGCTGTCCCCGCCGGGCTGCGGTGCTGTCCCCGGAGACAAACCACCCGACGCTACGGCTTTAGTGTGACCAAGTGAGAGAAACTCTTGGAGTGCGCGATGAGCTCCACGAGGAGGGGCAGGAGACACACGGGAGATGATTTCTTAGCGGTGTGGGAGAGGCAGGGACRATGTTCCACTCATTTGGCTCCCGAGCAAACCCCTGGCACAGCCGCGGCTCAGCGGCCACCCGGGGTGAGGCACCGCTGGCCCGCCAGCTGATGGTGATGCTGCAGCTTGGGGGATGTGCTCGTGCAACTATAAAATAAAGGTACCTGAGTAAAATACCAAGCATATTCAGTTCTTGGTGAGGACCTGACACCCCTTTTACTGTTTGGATTCATAGTGAACTTATTACCAGCCTGAGCCTGGCTCATCAAACCCGTCTCATCCTCACAACAGCTCCTGCTTTCAGGTTACTCTCTGAGGTACGATTGTCACAAGGAGGATCAAGGCCATTTGGCTTCAGGGACACAGACTCTCAGCAGAGAATTCTGATTCCCAACAGAGATCAGTGAATTCAYCTATGAAAAGTCATAAAACATCCTTCTTAGGAGGTATTTTATCTCTTGTTCCCMTGTTTTATGGTGAGCCAAAGGGCAGGCAATAGTGGCTACAAGGCCAGACAGGAATTATGGCACATAAGACTACTGAGCTTGTGTTCCCACAATTATTGCCTACAGAAGTTCACTTGGTACACCAGCTCAGGAGAGTTCATTTGTTTTGATGTTGATTCACATAAAAAGTGTTAAAGCCAAACTTCAGAGGGGCCTTTTGTATTCCTGTCAGCAAAGCACAGAGATGCTTCAGGTTCATGCTCAGAGCTCTGCCATTAAAATACCCGAATTAAAATATGCCAGGTAGCAAAATGAAAGYGAGCCAGCATCAAAGATGTTGCTGTGATTCAAAATCCCTTCTAAATTGGTCAAATCAAGTTTCATTGGAATGGAAGTGGAGTTTATCTCTGCTGGCTGTATCTGTATTTTCTCCTTGTGCAGACACATTTGCTATGAGATGTTCACTGCAGGGAGARGCAGACAAAACACGAGGAGCTGCAGGTCATCCACATCTCATTATCAGTGTGCAGCCTTGGGAGGGAGCCCACGGGCAGCCCCTCAGTTAACTCAGCCCCACTCCTCTTTCTTCAACCAAATATCTGCTCTGGTTTCTGATGATAACCCAGATGGTGCTGCAGCCAGGACTTGCTGTCTGGAGGACRAGCTTTGGATGAGTCCTGTCACGTTGCTGTTATCTATCAATTCCTTCTATCAATAATTGTACAGACACTTTCACCAATGTCTGCAGGCTCCCTTTTTGTGATGAGCCAGCGAATGAGCAGGCAGCACCCAAATGACAGGCTCTGAAGTGCAGCCCTCRAGGTCACAGTGGGTCCCAGAAATGTCACACTGCTGTCAGGAGCTGAGGGCAGAGGGACAAGGCTCAAATAACTCAGTCTAGAAATGGTAAAATGGACAAAACAGGGCAGCAGGCAAATCATTCTGCAGGACCTCTGGATACAGGATGAGTGAAATATATTGCAAAATRATGTTGTACTGTGAGTGAGGACAGAACTGAGGATTGTGCTGTGTCCATCTCTGGGGTTTCCAGAGCAGGTTAGACAAACACCTTCCAGGAACAGCCCAAACAAAGCTAATCCTGCCTCGAGACACAGGAGTGCACTAAAAGCACTGGAGATCCCTTYCCTGGGAGTTCCCAGGATTTATTTTCCCTTCCAGGAGCGTTGCTGCCCTGTCTGCAGTGCGGCAGAGAATGCAAGCTCCC